AAAATAAGACAACAATGAAGTTTGCTGCACCAACGGACTCTTCCTTTCACGACAGATTTTCTGTAGCATGCAGTGCTCTTCGATAGCATTTTACCCACAGTAGAACTTCTTTCAAAATGAGAGTCAATCCTCTCAAACCGTGCCACCGCTTTCTCCACTAAGTTTATGTAACAGTCAAGTCCTTTGCTGTCATTTCAGCAATGTTCACAGCTTCTTCACCAGGACTAGATTCCATCTCAAAAAAACACTTTCTTTGCTCATCCCTAAGAAGAAACTCCTCATCTCTTCAAATTGTGTCATGAGACTGTAGCAATTCAGTCACATCTTCAGGCTCTCTTTCTAATTCTAGTTCTCTTGCTGTTTCCATCACTTCTGCAGTGGCTTCCTCCACTAAAGTCTCGAACCTCTAAAAGTCACGTGTGCGGGTTGTGACCAACTTCTTCCAAACTCCTGTTAATGTTGACAGGAGTCCTTCCACAAATCGCCAGTGTTCTTAGTGGTATCTAGAATGGTGAATCCTTTCCAGAAGATTCTCAATTTACTTTGCTCAGATCCAGCAGAGGAATCACTATCTATGGGTGCTCTAGTCTTACAGAATGTATTTCTTAAATAATAAGGCTTGAAAGTCGAAATTACTCCTTGATCCATAGGCTGTGGAATGGATGCTGTGTTAGCAGACATGAAAACAACATTGTCTCCTTGTGCATCTGCATCAGAGCTCTTGGGTGACCAGGCGCATTTTCAATGAGCAGTAATACTTTGAAAGGAATCTTTCTTCTGAACAGTAGTGCTCAACGGTGGGCTTAAAATATTCAGTAAAGCATACCGTAAACAGATGTTCTGTCATCCAGGCTTTGTTGTTACATTTATAGAGCACAGGTAGAGTAGATTTAGCATAATTCTTAGAGCCCTAGGATTTTCAGAATGGTAAGCGAGCATTGGCTTCAACTCAAAGTCTCCAGCTGCATCAGCCCCTAACAAGAGAGTCGGCTGTGCTTTGAAGCTTTGAAGCCAGACACTGACTTCTCTCTAGCTGTGGAGGCCTAGATGTCATCTTCTTCCAGCAGAAGGCTGTTTGTCTACATCGAAAATCCGTTGTTTAGTGTAGCCACTTTCATCAATGTTCTTAGCTGGATCTTCTGGATAACTTGCTGTGACTTCTACATTAGCACTTGCTGCTTCGTCTTGCACTTTTATGTTCTGGAGATGGCTTCTTACCTTAAACCTCATGAACCAATCTGTGGTCGCTTCAGACTTTTCTTCTGCAGTTTTCTCACCTCTTTCAGCCTTCATAGCATTGAAGGAGGCTTGCTCTGGGTTAGGCTTTGGCTTAAGGGATTGTTGTAGCTGGTTTGATCTTCTCTCCAGACCACTAAAACTTTCTCCACATCAGCAATAAGTCTGTTTTTCTTTCTTATCATTTGTGTGTTCACTGGAGTAGCACTTTTCATTTCCTTCAAGGACTTTTCCTTTGCATTCACAACTTGGCTAAGTGTTTGACCATGAGGCCTAGCTTTCGGCCTATCTAAGCTTTCAACATGCCCTCTTCACCAAGCTTAAATCATTTCTAGCTTTTGATTTAAAGTGAGACATGTGCAACTCTTCCTTTCACCTGAACATTCAGAGGCCATTGTGGGGTTATTAGCTGACCTAATTTCAATATTGTTGTGTTTCAGGGAATAGGGAGGCCTGAGAAGAGGGAGAGAAATGGGGGAACTGCTGGTCGATGAACCAGTCAGAACACACATAGCATTTATTGCTTAAGTGCACCTTCTACAATGGGCTTGGTTTGCGGCACCCGAAAACAAATAAAATAGTTACGTCAGAGATCACTTATCACAGATCACCATAACAGATATAATAATAATAAAAATGTTTGAAATGTTACAAGAATTATCAAAACGTGACACAGAGACACAAGTGAGCACATGCTGTTGGAAAAATGGTGCTGACAGATTCCTTTGAAGAAGGGTTGCCACAAACCTTCAATATGTAAAACATACACTACCTGTGAAGCACAATAAAGCGAAGTGCAAAATAATGAGGTATGGCTGTATACTATTAAAGCATAGGGTACAATTTGTACCTTTGGTACTTTCTGAACAATCTGAATTAAGTCAAAGAATATATATCTAGTATCAACATCCAATCATTTCAGTCATTTCCATTAAAAATTAAGTGTATCATTTATATGCTTTATCTTCACAATTCCAAGTAAGTTTTTATTGAAAGGGCCAGTTGTTCCAATGTTATGCTGAACCTGCCATACTCTCTATTGCTATCATGAACACAAAAAGTTATAATACATTTGTTTACTATAATATTCTATTGTTTGGGCATTGTAACCTTCCACATTTTAACTTCATTCACTGGTTTCCTTTTTCACAAGATATAACTAAGCAGTCCTGTTTCAAAAATATTTAACTACTGTTAAATTATAGTTTATGGTGATACCTGTAATCCAGAAACTGAATTTTCCATATAAACAAAAATGGATGCTCTGAGAAAGGCATGATATTAACATTAGAAAGCCAGTGGTTTTACTTACTCTCCTCTCCACAGACACATACACCATAATTTAAAACCAAATGTTTGTGAGAAAGCTGGCTCATCATGCTTGCTGCTTCAAAGAAAGACTAAGGAAAAGAAAACAAAAAGTGCAAAAAAATTATTGTTTGACTGTTGTCTGTAAGTATTTTTTTTTTTTTG